CTAATCTGGTTTCTGTACTAAACTACCATTGGCCATTCAAGTTTCTGTACTAAACTACCATTGGCCATTCAAGTTTCTGTACTAAACTACCATTGGCCATTCAAGTTTCTGTACTAAACTACCATTGGCCATTCAAGTTTCTGTACTAAACTACTATTGGCCATTCAAGTTTTTGTACTAAACTACCATTGGCCATTCAAGTTTCTGTACTAAACTACCATTGGCCATTCAAGTTTCTGTACTAAACTACCATTGGCCATTCAAGTTTCTGTACTAAACTACCATTGGCCATTCAAGTTTCTGTACTAAACTACCATTGGCCATTCAAGTTTCTGTACTAAACTACCATTGGCCATTCAAGTTTCTGTACTAAACTACCATTGGCCATTCAAGTTTCTCTACTAAACTACCATTGGCCATTCAAGTTTCTCTACTAAACTACCATTGGCCATTCAAGTTTCTGTACTAAACTACCATTGGCCATTCAAGTTTCTGTACTAAACTACCATTGGCCATTCAAGTTTCTGTACTAAACTACCATTGGCCATTCAAGTTTCTGTACTAAACTACCATTGGCCATTCAAGTTTCTGTACTAAACTACCATTGGCCATTCAAGTTTCTGTACTAAACTACCATTGGCCATTCAAGTTTCTCTACTAAACTACCATTGGCCATTCAAGTTTCTCTACTAAACTACCATTGGCCATTCAAGTTTCTGTACTAATACAGGTCCCTGTGCTAAACTTCTGTTGACCAATCGGGTTTCTGTACTAAGATAACATCAGGCATTTGATTTACAGGAACATGATTATACCAACTATTTCTCAGCTGGAACAGCACATTATAGATTTGGTACGGAGCAACATATGCCAAAATACAATTGCTGATTTGGAAGCAGATGAACAAAATGATGGACCGGAGAAACCAGTAGAAACTGTACAGAGTGTTGATACATCATGTAAAATGTTATCTGAATTGTAACAAATTTGTTGTTTTATACAGTTGGGCAGAACAATCATACTCCAGTCCTTTTTCCATACACTTGCTTGTATGAAAGAGCTCTGTCAACATCCTTTAAACAAGGCACTATGTATTCTTGGGAGCGAAGCGGAGCTAAGACACACACTACTGTAATCGACGATTCGAAAAGTACCGTTTTCTGAGTGTTTTCAGCCTTTGTTTTCACCGTGATGGTTGGCCAGGCAGTGAAAATGCCGGCCCAAATCTTTTTTCTGATTGTTGAGATATGCAGTGAAATCTAAATCTAATCTATTTTAGAAAAGTGCAATGGATCACTAGTACAGCTGTTCATTATACAAAATTTTAAATACTTTTTCTACCAATATTTTGAAGTGCAGAACATTTTGTTGATGGAAATAAACAGTATTTTCTTCCAGAAAAGTTGAAAAGGTATCAGAAAGTGCATGGATTCCATTGTGTTAAAGAATCAAAAGCAAAACTTGTAAATTTGTTACGATTTTACAAACCTATGTGTTTTTACCTTTTGCAGGTTTACTTAAAAATTATATTTTGAAATCATTGAAATGTTTTACCAAGTGTGTTATCATGTTTTTGTGCAAATAATTACTATTAATATTTACATGCTAAGTTTAAGTTTGTTAGCAGGAATCAAGCATTCATTGGAAGTTGATACGACTAGACTAATATTGAGTTGAGTGCCGATCATGTTTCTTTACAAATCTGAATTTTTGAGCCTTGCAATCTGTGAGACCTCTCCTGCAATGGCTAGCAATCTTAAAATACCTAGAAATCAATGTGCTCCTCGGGATTTGTGTTCTCCTGTGTTAATAAACATCACATACTGTTGGTGAATCATGAACTGCTTACTATAGTGGCATTCAAATTGATAAAAGCTTGACATTCCTTAGCTTTTTTAGAATCATTAACAAAACTATTTTTTAATTTGCCATTAATGATCAATCATGACGTTAGTTAGCTTTGCAGTTTTACTATTCTTTATTAAAAAAAAAAAACCTTTATATTTTAAAATCTATATTTGTTTTTTCAGATGTTGAAAGTTTATTTGTTATATTAAAATATTTATCGCATGAATCTTTGGTGTTCTTTTTGGTGTATAAGAAACCATTTCCATCATTCAAAAAATGAGGTAGCGTACAAAGTAATTAACCAATAATTATAGGTGTTCTTGCTTTTATTCAATACAAAAATCCACTGCAAATTAAATACATAAACCAAAGAAAAATTGGCAAGCAGTAGCATTAAAAAAAAAATTCCCATTTACAAAGGTAGCGTATTGGTACATGCATATTTTGTTATTGGTGGCATGGACAATTAAAATGCACATTCCTTTCCTTGTAAGTGGAAACAATGGAACATTTCACATAAATACTTTTGTGAAAGAGTAAACTGATATACCAGTTCATAAATAATGCTGGACATGATATATTGAAAGCTTTTTGCTAAAAGTGCAATACTGTAAATCAATGCAATTTCACTGGAGTCATTCCTGTTGCCGACTTTATGTCAAGATCATTCTGTGATTGGAACTGGTTGGATCAAACAATTTTGACGAGGACATACCATTCAGAAGTTTAAACTGGTAACTTTCAAATCGCCCTTTGGTATTAACATTTTTTTTGTTATTTATAAAACTGGAATCATAAACCACTTGCATTTAGAAACGGAATGACCAGCATGAAGCCTGCTAGCCTGGTCACAGGGTTCATGTTCCTCAGTATTTGACCCCAATACTGACCCAACCAGTTACAATCAGTGATCTCTCAACATGCTCATTGAAATGGCCAGCAATTTACAGTAGCTTTCTCAAAAAAAAATTCCCTATGAGCCTAATAATATTACATCATGCTTGGCTCACCAAATTCAAACCTGATAATACTATCAATCCCAATAAATTAATTTAAGGCACCAAATGTACATTATACTAACTATGTACACTATGTACAATAAAAACATAAATGATATAATCATGACAGACCTGTCTTCTGTATGGAGGAATCAGCTGCATAGATTGGAAACTATGGAAAGGTATCTTGGTTGATTAAAACAATTATGACAAATTTACATAAATCTAAATTATTGCACAACCAGAACCATGGCCAATCCATTTGGAGGGAATAAATTATTTGATTCAGGATGAGTATGCACGCCTACAACTCTTTAGGTGAGTAATTATGTTCTTGCATGATACTGTATATGGAAAGTTCCTTACTTACTTGCTTTCATTAATAAATATATTACCCCTCAGTATGGGAGGCCATTTTGTTTTCATCAATGTTCTTTCTGACTAGCTCACAGATACATATTGGAATACGTATTCATTTCATGATCCAATTCAAAATAGCAGTTATTTTAGTGCTAACAAGTCATTGAAAATGACACAGTCCCCGTTAAATTTTTGAAAGTTCTCTTTGTGCTTGTCGCGAGCGTGTCCTAGAAACTTGAGTTCCAAGTGGCGCATACAACAGATTGTTTATTTACATCAAAACACGTGTTCCGTGTAGTAATATGGCCAATAAAACAAGCCATGCATGGCACAGTTCCCGTTAGTTATCAAATTTAAGATGTATAGTTTTGTTTATAGTAATATAGCTGGAATATAACCATGTCAGGAATATGATTTTTTAACATTAAAATGATTGACACTTGTCTATAGTGAGAGATATTGCTCTAGAACAGCATTCAAAATCAGCCATTTTGAATACATGTATATACAAATAAAATTTGAATATAATCAGTCAAAGCATTTAAGAGATATGGCTCTAGAACCCCAATCATTAAAGCAAAATGGCCGTCAGTCAGCCATTTTGAATCCAATCTGAAAAATAAAATTACGTGCATCAGGAACCTGTAATGTATAATGTATGTACAGAGTTTGAACGAAATCCATCCATGAATGCCAGAAATGCTTGATACATGGTGATTTTTTAGCACAAAAATTACCACCATTCAGCCATTTTGAATAGAATCGTCAAACCAATACATCTGTTTATCTATGACATGATGTATAATGAATATTTAAAATTTGAATATAATCAGTCAAAACAAGTCGGAGATATGGGTCTAGAAGCCCATTCATTAAAACAAAATAGCCGCCAGACAGCCATTTTGAATTCGATCTGGAAAATAAATGATGTGCATCAGGAACCTGTAATGTCTAATATATGTACCAAGTTTGAACGAAATCCATCCAGAAATGCTTGATATTTGATGATTTTTTAGCACAAAATAGGCCACAATTTGGCCATTTTGAATAGGATCGTCAAACCAATATATCTGTCTATCTATGACATGATGTATAATGAATATTTAAAATTTGAACATAATCAGTGAAAGCAAGTCAGAGATATGGCATGAGAACCACATTCATTAAAACAAAATGGCTGCCAGTCGGCCATTTTGAATCTTATCTGAAAAACAAAATTATTTGCATCAAGGTCCCATAGTGTCTAATGTATATACCAAGTTTAAACAAAATCCATCAGTAAACAGCCGAGAAATGGTTGATTTTTAGGATTTTTTAGCACAAAAATGGCCACCATTCGGCCATCTTGAATCAGATCGTGAAACAAAATGATGTGCATCAAGGTCCTATAATGTCTAATGTATATACCAAGTTTGAACAAAATCCATCTGTAAACAGTCGAGAAATGCTTGATTTTGATGATTTTTAGCACAAAAATGGCCGCCATTCAGCCATCTTGAATCAGATCATGTAACAAATTGACGTGCATATGTATAATATCATGAATGATGTATGTGTGAAGTTTGATTGTGATTGGTCCAGGCATTTCTAAGATACAGGTCCGGACGCATGCACACACGCATGGACAGACACACAGAGGTCTAAACTTAAGTCCCCGTTTTTGGACTGCATTGAAACGGGGACTAAAAAACAGTCGTTATTCGGCCATCTTTGATCTGATTATGAAACACACTGATATGTATGATGTATGTGCCAAATGCGAATGAAAATGGTACATAAATTGTGGAAATATAGTAGTGAGGCCAAAAAGTCAGATGGCTGTCAATCGGCCATCCTTGACCAGATTTGAAACAAATTGTCATGGACATGCATCCCAACATGTATAAAGTACATGTATGTGCCAAATTTGAATGAAAACTGACAGAACACGTCCAAGATACCGCATAAAAAAACAAAAACAAGATGCCTGCCAGTCTACCATCTTTGATCCAATTGCGAAATAAATCGTCATGGACATGTATCCTAACATGTATAATCTATGTACCAAGTTTGAATGACAACTGACAAAGCATGTCCAAAATACAACATTTTCAAAAAACAAGATGGCTGCCAGTCGGCCATTTTGAATCGAATCACTAAACCACTGCATGTGCATACATGTATGTCCCACATATGGTACTAGGCACATGCAAAGAATGAACGGAATCGGTCCACAGGATTCTGAAATATGACTCTGGACAGACTGACGCATGAACGGACGAATGGACGGACAGACTCAAGAACTCACGGATGGTCGGGGACATGTATCCTAACATGTATCATCTATGTACTGAATTTGAATGAAAATTGACAAAGCATGTCCAAAATACGACATTTTCAAAAAACAATATGGCTGCCAGTCGGCCATCTTTGATCAATTGTGAAATAAATCGTCATGGACATGTATCCTAACATGTATAATCTATGTACCAAGTTTGAATGAAAACTGACAAAGCATGTCCAAAATACAACATTTTCAAAAAACAAGATGGCTGCCAGTCGGCCATTTTGAATCAAATCACTAAACCACTGCATGTGCATATGTCCCACATAAAGTACTAGGCACATGCAAAGAATGAACGGAATCGGTCCAAGGGATTCTGAGATATGACTCCGGACGGACGCACGGAGACCGAATTATAAGTCCCCGTTTTCGGACTTCGCCCGAACATGGACTAAAAAAGTGTTGGTCATGTACATTGGATATACCCCGGTAATAGGACCTTGATGCACATTATTTTGTTTTTCAGTCTGACAGTCATTTTGATTTCAACTGTTCCAGAGTGGTATCTCTGACATGCCTTGACCTATCTTCACAAATGCATCATACATTATGTCACAAATATCACATACAATTCCTAATTCTCGAATTGGTAGCGTTTGCGCATTTATCGTTTGTGCACTTGCGCATATTGTGTGATCTGAGGTCAACCAACTAGAAGGTCGCAGTACACCGAACATCTGTTTCCAACTTGCAACATAAAAATTCCCCTCTAAACTGCCATCTTTCAACTAACTTGTACCAGCCTAAGCAGGATTACCTTTCGCTATGGCGTAATATTTTCATATTTTTTGTGGGTATTTTGTTGAAAAACTATGTCACAGTCATATTTACTCAGTGAAACGCACGCACACATACCATCTCTATTTCAGTTCATTTTTTCATTTTTTTAAACTGGAAATCCACATTCCTCAGCTGTATTAACTAGTTTTTCGAGCTCCGCTCGTTTGTACCCACACTCAAACTGTTTCAAATATGTTACTGACTTCTGCCGGGGTGCACGTCTGCCGGTAATCTATTGACTTTTTATATTTTTGTCCTACATCACCCATTGCTAGTTAGGTTTACACATACGCAAATAGGATTACAATGCGTCTGACGATAATTCGGGGATCAGAAATTGTTTCAAGATCCAATTCAAAATGGCCAAATATTAAAATCAAGCATTTCTACCATTTCGGAATTAGATCTCAAATCTTGTTTTGTTCATTGTCATTTTGTTTTTTTAGATCAAATTCAATATGGTCAACTGGTGGCCATTTTGTTTTAACGAATAGTGTTCCAGAGACGTACCTTGTTTATCATGGGAGGTATTTACACATGCACTCATTTATGAACTTACACTAACAAAAAGAATAGAGACTGTGTCACATCTAGACTTGAAATAAATATTATAGGTGTGACACAATACATGCAGCACAAGTAGTAAAGGTGCTTTGAGCTTGCATCCACCTGTCTTTTCTTAAAATGCACAAATAAATCTTCATTCTTGTACTGTACTTAAATTCTGTAAATATCCATCCATCCATATGCGCAGATACTGGTATATTGAATGGTTCAATCACAAAAGGTTGGCAAGTTCATGTTATATTATTGGCTGGCAGCACCAGTTCCTTGATTACAGCATTTTCAGAGGATTTAGCCAGTGACTCTCCAGTCTCTCCAAAAGCATCTTTGTGGTGAATATCAACTCCATGCTCAATCAAAAATTTGACAACGCTCTCATTCTGCATGGCTATTGCCTGTTAGGAATGAGATATGGACTAATGAAGCATAGCAATGTATTCTTTTCACCACCAGTCCCTCTTTTCATTACAAATTCACAAAATAGTTTTGTTTATAGTATTCACTTTCCTTCAGAAAATTGGGACAAAAATAGCCAAATTGTTTGAGTAAATACTGAGAATTATTGAAGAAGGTTAAGGTACAGTCCCTCTATCCCCCGTCTGAAAATGGCTATGTCTAAGGTGTGAATTACACCCAGTGTGCGGACAGTCCAGGGTATGGCTTTCCACAAAGCATAGTCTCTTGATAGCAGAGCATTTCATTGAAACGATTGATTCATTGTTTCCTGCATATTCTAGTTTTTACAACCGAAGTAGACCATATATTTTGATACTTTATATAGATTTAGAAGCTCAAAAATTCTTTAGGCGACATATAGACATTATTCATGAATATCGCACTTAAATTTGAGGTACTCTGCCAGAGATCGCAACTTGGAACACTTCTAACAACCTTGATCGATTGACCCATTCTATTCGTCATGTATTTTAGAAAGATCAAGGTTTTTTCATTTATTGGATAGCTTAAACCTAGTTGTAGTTTGTGGTTTATTGTGCTTGTTTTATTATATTATATACAGTATACATGTCATATTTAGGCATTCACTTTTTCCGTTCAAAATAAAGATGGCCTCTTGCCAATTTCATTGCCATTCAAATTTTCTTGTCATTATTTTTGTTTCCAAGCATATATTTGGAATGTAGTTTACAATGCTGGTGACATCACGTCTCCAAGAATAACATCCTGCAGTATCAATTCTTTAGCACTGCCAGGAATTGGGTAGGGAGACTTTTTATTGCCCCGATGAGAATTTATTTACGAACGTCATTTTGTTTTTGATTTACTGAACTTACGCGACACATTGTAAGCAGATTGGCCCCTCTTATAGTAAGAAAACAGCATTCAACCATAATATTTGTTTTTCATGTGATCAGATAAGTACATTTACTTTTTGGTGATGTGGTTAGTTTTTCTCTCAGATTTTCGTATTTTGATAAATCGAGGTAATATATTCAGTTCTATTTGCAGTTTGTGATTGCAATGCTTAAGTTTGTGTACACTCAGTTTCGTGGCTAATTGTCTAAGGTTTATCTACCCGCAACCAGCCCTGGGACAATAGACTCACTGTACTGCCAAGCGTTTCCAGACCGGAGATAGAGGGACTGTGGTTAAGAGGATCTGGTTCATCAACAATGGATTCCAGAGTGTGACAAGTTATTAGCCATAACAGTTTTGCATCAATGACATTTTACTCTGAAATTCATCATTATTCTATCTGTCAAACTTCATCTTTACTTACTATATGCAAGGCTGTTCTACTGCTGTAATCAGGGGTACTCAAGTCAGCACCAGCTAGATTCCAACATTCTAATTCTTCAACATCATTCCTAGATGCAGCACTAAATCAAAACATAAATACAAACTGACTTGAAAAGACACATACCAATATAAACTGACACAATATCTGAACTTTATACCCAGCACAGGCACACATCTGTAGCACCTATCTACAGATGGAATTTCACTGACATTACCAGTATACTTACTCACAGAGACGCATACCAATTTCATGCTGTGACATGTGGACAATGTGCGCACCAGTTTGTCGCAGTAGCTTAATTATATCAACAAATCTGTGAACACAAAAGTAGAAATTTAAAGGATTTCAAAAGCAGGTGTACAATAGAGTGTGTATTCCAGGCACTGATTTGAAGACGAAGTAGTGCTAAATGTTGATAACTTACTACAATAGGTTACACACTTTGTTTTCACATTTACAGAAGTTGTTACAAATAATACATGCAGCATGTCTGTAATTTGAAGAGCACCGGAAGGAAGCTCTGCCCATAAAAGTGGCGGTACATTAGTTTTGAATTTCTCCTCCAACAAACGATCAAGGCTCTCAACTGAGTTTCCTACTTCAATTTGCGTCACATGTTATTTCAGTGAGAGGGTCGCATAAAATGGTGGCACTGTAAAAAAACGTTTTTATTTTACAGAACCAGCTGATCGACTGATCAAGGCAGAATTGTTGATCAAAGTACATTATTCCTACTATGAAAATATTTATATCACACCGATCTATATAACTGAAAGCTGCTTGCAACAAATGTCCTATATCAATAATGAAATTGAATACATAAGTAGAATGGGTGTTATTCAATTATTAGTTCTCGACGATGAGAACCAAAAGGTTGATGTACCACCAAATAATCGCTTTAAACAGCAACACATGATCACGCGTTCGAGGAGGGTTGCCGCCGTACATACACCGTCTTCGAGTAGTTTTTGTCTAATTTTCTGTCCGTAAATGCTCGGCCTCAACGTTTTATAATATTCAACATAGTCTATAACATCAGTTAGTTTTTTAGTCGTGGATTGGTCGCTCTTACGCTTTCCTGGCAGGATACTCTCGGTGGTAGCCCTGTGTACATGTAGTTGGCGTAGTGACCGGAACAACAGACATGTACACAGGGTAACAAACGATTTGACGACATTATAAGCTGTCTGCTTTGAAACACCACTTCGATCTCCAATCTCAGCAAATGACAGTCCACGAAAATCTTGTTCTCACTTCAACTTGTTTTTCGACTCCTTGCTTCTCGTGGTGTTTAAACAACTTGGACAAATGCCGATTAGTAGACACGCAATCAACACGATGATTGACCAAAAGTGAATGAAAGTCTGGGGGCATCTGACTTTGTAGCAAAAATAAAAAACATTGTGGGCAATATCTGTCAATCATTCCTCTGATTTGCAGCTGATGTTTATATTTCTAGTTACAACTTATGTAAATGTGAAAATAAAATGTGTAACCTATTGTAGAATGTTATCTATATCTAGCACTACTTCAGCGTCAAATCAGTGCTTGGAATTGCTGTAAGTACAGCAACACAGAAACAAAAGTGTTGAAGTTATCCATGCTGTTTATTGAATGATCTGACCCTTATATTAACAAGTCATTGTCAATGACACGTCCCCGTTCCGTTCATATTTGAGTGACATATACATTCAAAGCAGATCATGACCGAAATGCACCTGCATATGTACAACACATTGTGCTAAATCTGAACAAAATCCATCCATGCATGACTGAGATCCGGTTCTGGAATTGTGAAAATACGTGATTTTGATGCATTTTCGGCCTTAAAATGGCCATCATTCCGCTATTGTTAAGCAGATCATGAAACAAATGCACATACATATTTGTGACATGATGTACCTTGTGTGTGTGAAGTTTGAACTTGATCAATCCAGACATGTCTCGGATACGGATCCAGAACTGAATTCTTTAAAACAAAATGGCCGCCAGTCGGCTATTTCGAACTTGATCCGGAAAAAAAAATGACGTGCATCAAGGTCCTATTAAGTTTAATGTATGTACCAAATTTGAATGAAATCCGTCCATGCATAACTGAGATCTGGGTCCGGAAT